ACCGCTGCACGGATAGAGCCTGGGGACATCCTTTCATTTCCATTGTCTATCATCTTTGAGGTGTCTATCGTGCAATATAGCGTGTCGGTGAAGCTGGTCGGTGTCGTGTTCGCCGATGAGAGGGTCCGTATGTTGCTTGGGTAGCTCATTGGGGGAGTACGGGCGACATCTGCATAGGACGGAGATCCCGAGGCGGGGCCTGACGGGTTGATTGCCATGCGCAGAGAGTGAATTTCGCGAAGGATCTCATCGTGGCCGTTCTGAGAGCAAGGCTCGGAGAGGGCTTGCGGTGTCGGGGGTCTGTCTGCCAGGGTCTGTAGCTCCTGTCGGACTTCTGCAAGGGTTGCGCTGAATTCCTCTTTGATTTTTTGCAGCTCTTTCTTATGCAGATCATCGCGTCGTCTAATCTCTTTCCTTAGCTTCACGAGCTCTTTCAAGAGATCGGTAGCGCTCAAGTCCTCGCTCTCCGTCGAGGAGTCGTCTGAAGATACTGCGTCGTGCTGGGGTACTGATTTGCCTTGACGTCCCTTTTTCGATTGGGCGCGTGTCTTTCTCTGCTCGGTGTCAATCTCTTGCTCTTGAGCGTAGTTATTCGGTGGTCTTGTGGTGCGTCGCGGCCTCGCTAATCTTGGGGGTGAATCTTCGTGTTCGTCGCGGTCGGGCGGCTCAGGGGTTCGCGTCTCGGCCCGTCCCGCCATTTTTCTTTCTCGCGTCGCTCACGATATTGCTCGCTTACAGGGCCGCCTTTCGTTGTTGATCTTATTTCGTACAGTATAGTTCCCGCAGGGTTACAGTAGTTTTCGAAATCAGTTATACCACAACACTCTTGCGACTTCATTCCCGGAAAATAAATCCGATGAACGTGAGTTCTGATTGGATAAGCTATTTTAAGCATCTTGTCAGACCGCTTTCCATAATGGTCGCTGTATTTTATAATACAATTAGCAGACCGCGAGTGATGTATTTTACACGAAACTCTCATACACACGCTACCTCCCGTCCCCTCCTTTCCCCCTCCGTCAGTCAACAACTTCCCCACACATCGCAGTTACAAGTCTTCCCAATTTTAGCACTCATTTACTTCAAGGCGATATGGCTCCAAGACTCTCCCCTGCGAAGCTCGTTCTCATACGTGATATGATAGAGAGCCAATCCTTCACCACATCTGAAATGGCCGAGCAGGCTGAATGTAACAAGCTAACCATCATCAATATCCGCAGAAACTTACGACAATTTGGAAGCATTTACGCCCCTCAAACCCGAGTAGGTCGGAAACGAACTGTGACACCCCCGATGATTGAAGCCATCTGTGATCATCTATGTGAGAAACCTGGCCTGTACCTCGATGAGATGGCTGTATTCCTTTGGGATGAGTTTCAGACTATGGTTACAACCTCCAGCATTAGAAGAGCCCTTGTCGCTAAGGGTTGGTCGAAAAAGACTGCGCGGCAACGTGCGAGAGAGCAAAATGCTGATTTACGAGATTATTATCTGCATAGTCTGTCTAACTTCAAATCGTACCACCTCATATATGTTGAGAGGATTTGCTGCCTTCCTTGAATGGTGTATCAGTGTAGTGGGTGCAAAGGAAGAGAGTGCCAAAGGCCATTTTCGTTAGGCAGGGTTGAATATCAAATAAGCCTCAGGAAGTTGTTAGGCCCGAGCCAGGGTCAAGTTCCTCAAGAACATTCAGCCTAGCCTACTCATTGAACCAAGGGTCATCGAGGATCTGTCTCGCTGATGCTCTTGCTGACGGTTCAAAACACAACAAGTTTCCAATGATTTCTCCCAGCCTCGTTATATCCTCTCTTGTGAGATCAATACAATGCGGTCATTACTTCCAAAAACTTACCATTGCAGAAACCCGTCGCACACGAGTCATACCGACCTCAAGGCCCACGCTACAGCATTATTAGCAACCAATGAACAATACAAGAACAAGAAAGGCCGGCCGGTTCATATCTACCATGATGAAGAGGGGCGCTATTCTGGTTGTACATAGATGAATATCCCTGTAAATACCCAGATGGAAGGGCATGTCATGTTTCAATTTGGGTCCACTAGAGCTACAAGGGCTGGTCTCGTGGAGAGGATGTCCTCACCGCTAACAATACATTGCTATAGGCTATACAATACTGACTTGCTATTTTTCTGGCTTTGGGGGAGGCTCCGACTCTACACTCCCATCCGAAGGACTTGTCAGGGTGGCATCATAGGCTAGAACATATCGGCTCCGCCGCCGTAGGCGAGGCCCAATTTTGTAAATCACCCAAGGGATTGGGGCCAGCATGAGCGAGATAAATGCAGCAATAGACACTGACCAATGTATTCCAATTCGCTCCACCATCTGCACCGAAAATAATGGTACCACCCCGGCTATCCCGTATCGCATAAAGCCTTCAGCAGCCAAAGCGGATGCGCCGTACCGCGACCCATAAACGAAATTTTTGTATAACGGCCACCCGAGCTGTATGTACGAGTTAGACATAAAATCAAAAAAACACCCGAGAAACAAAGTACTTTACCATAATGAGAAAATAGGCAGCGCCAAATGGAATGCCTGCGAGCAAGGGAACTACCCAGTGGATCGACTCATAAGCTGTCCATGCGAACCTGGGTTTTCAACCTTGTTAGTATGGTTCATAAGTAAGTTTCATGACAGAGAATAATAACCTACCAGAAAAGAGACACTGGAAGAAGTACACCACCCACCATAGCTGGATACAACAGCTCCTCAGGCTGCATATGTACCCCATAACGCTCCATCATATCTCTTGCTTTGCGGAACTTGATCTTGTTCACAATTGACATGAAGACAAGTCCTAAAATACTTCCAATGAGCAACGACAGAAAAGACAATGCACTCTGATACCGAGAAAAAGAATGCAGCCGCTCAAACACCAGCGGGAATGCAATATAAAAAAAGAATACCACGCTGAGGGCGATAGATGAGATGAACGAAGTAGGTGCAACAATAGGCTCCACAATGAGCATATGCAATGGACGGCCAACCGCCAGTTTGAGTACCTGAGTTAAACGGCCTCTTGGTGGGAGTGGAGTGTCTTGTCTTTTGGCTCTACTGCGAATGATCTGTGGCCCATAGGTCTCTGGACATAGAAGGGACATGCATGAAACACCGAGCATGATCGCTGTGAGCCAGAAGGTCCACCGCCAGTTATGGGTATCATCTTTAATAGACTGTCCAATGACTGGCCCGACTTCGGTGCCCCAGATTAATGAAGCGGCAAAGATACCATAAAAGGTATTTCCCAAGTCTTCAGTCTTGGTATCCCAAATGTCGTTGATACTTCCTGCCACAATAGCGACAAGGGGTCCTCCGAGAGTCCCAGAGAGGAACCTCCCAGCTCCAAGGGCGGACCATTTAGTAGCGGATCCCGCAACCACGGTGAAGACGATGGAACCCACAAGGGACAGAAGATACACTGGTCGACGTCCATATGTCTCGGAGATTGCTGCCGATACGACAGGACCAAGCCCAAGGCCAATGGTGAAAAGCGTGATGGGCAGAATGGCTTTAGTGAGACTAACATGGAGCTCTCTCTGGACATCTGGGATCGCGCCGAGATATATGGAATTTGCGGAAGTCCTGAACGATGCCAGAGCATAAGGATCTCTGCCCCAGGGAGTTATTCGACTGGGTAGGGGTAAACGTACATGCAGAAAGCTCCCAAGATAGACATGATAGAAACCGTTATTCTTTTCCAGGTTGGCCAGTTTCTGGGATTGTCTTTGTCCCCCGCAGGAAAAGTGATTTCGCTCTCGATGTCTTTGTTATCCATGGCGAAGAGTAATTGTGATTTGCTTCGGAGGACAGTGTGAAACTATGGTTCTTTGACGCCCCTCCGAGAAGTGCACTGAGACTGCCTCTATTCGAGAAAAGAAGGTGAAAGGCAATAACCGTTTAATTGACCAATTTCCAATCAAGTCTTATATACCTAACATGTGTGTGTTAGGCAACTTCATCTTTGCAATGACTCATTACTTTGCTCGAAAAACTATATTGGTCGATCAATGACCAAATAACGGACAATTATGAAAGTTAAAAATGCACCCTGATGGTTTGATTTTCTGACACTTTCGGCTGTTCGCTCGATACAAAATTCATCTACAAGGAATGACTTACGCAAGTGGGAAAGTTAAAAATCGTCTAGATCTTGATGACGTGCTCTTAAACGGCCGGATGGGTAGGGCCGGCCCGTGTTTCAGCGGAACGTGTCAACCTTAATCAGCAACCACCCAATGAATGTGCGGTTAGTGTTTAATTCCTTAAACTTTATTTATATCGTTACATCAAACCAAGCCAGAAAAAATTGTTATGAGAAATATAAAATCGCTAGTGTCATTAACTAAAATGGAGTTTTTTAGTGGGAAATATTTTCCTTTTACTGTAGCACCTCTCAAACTTCCTTGGGCAACATGACATCATATTCAGTGATCTTTTCATTAAAACCCCTCAGACATGCGATATAACTGAGCTGTGTGAACATGTCATGCACAATCCCCAAAAACGCCAATCCCCCAAAACGCCATGGGATCGACCAAGCCGAATTTGCCACCCAAAAAGAGAGCAAAAATTTTGATGCTTCATGGTATGGATGCCGACCAGTTAAAATGCACCTAGCAAAGCGCAAAGTACTATCCCAAATACCAGGAAATGGACAGTCTGGAAGCTTCTTCTACAGCAAAACACGAGCCATCCGAGAGAGCTGTTGCCAGGCTTTCACAACTAGTGTCCTAGAAAGAAAAGCGCCGTGTTTTCCGGGAGGAGTGGAGTTTGTGTACCCTGACGCGCCGTTCCCCGTGCCTGATGACTCGCATGTGGAAGACAACGCCGAAGAAAGTGCCGATTTCGGGACCCTCGCGCTATATGACAATCGAGACGCACGAAGCTCATCTCGTATATGGGGATACGGCGACCCCGATGGCGATAAACTGGTCGGACTAGAAACGTGCCTTCAATACTTGCTAAAAATCGTGCGGGCTGAGGGGCCTTTTATTGGAATAATGGGGTTCTCCACAGGGGCATGTATGGCCGGTATTCTGACAGCAATTTTGGAGAGAAATGGATCATGTGATTTTCAGAAAGAGCGACTTGATGTGAGGATTTACTGTATCCCCGCAGGAAAGATTCTCAAGTGTACTGACGGGATTTTATGTGAACAGGCTAACCATCCGCCGTTACTATTCACAATTTGCTTTAGTGGGTTCAAATTGACACATCCCAAGTTTCGATCGTTGTACTTGGATCAGATTCAGACGCCGATGCTTCACCTAACTGGGATTTATGATTTCTGGATCCCCCAGTCACAGACATATAAACTGGCTGAGATTTGTGTTAACGGGGAATTGGTCTCTTTTGAAGGCACTCACTACGTTCCCGGTGACCCTTTCGTTGTAAGGAAGGTGATCGAATTCATTAAGGAGTCGCTCGGTTGGAAATATGAGCCTAACCAAGCAGATGGTTGGATCGATATTTAGACCTGTACTCCTTGTCAAGTTGATGTAATTTATGTTTAGGATTTTCGAATATATCAAGAGATGTGCTGCGGAACGCTGTAATTGGAACAATTGACTGGAGGCCACAGTGCCCCCAGAATCTAATATTTTGGTGGTCGGTTATCACAAATCGTTTGTTACATCCATTGCGCTCGGACGGTTGACCATGGTGCACGTTCTTGCTGCAAAAGACTCAACTTCTTGTCATCATGTGGCACCTTAGCTTGTGTTGTCCAGGAATGGCGGGCATGAAGAGGCAGGCGTTTGGGAAGATTCAGCACCATATTGAGCATATGTATATACGAAGACTGATACACTGTAAATTCTGCAATATAAAAATCTGACAATCTGGAGCTACTCTGTGCAATAGTCGATGTTGTAAGCCCAAACGCCGTGATGCCTTAATGACCATCTGCCCGGTTCAAAGAATCTCATAAACAGGCACTGCTTTCTTCACCTTCTTGACCCATTTTGCGATGTTCTCTACGAATCGACGTGCGATGCCTATTTTGATTCCTCTCTCGATGAAAAAATTTGGGTCTTGGTCCTTGTACACTTGTTCGAGATCAAGGCCGTTCTCGAGCATCACATCGCACGTTTGTCGGAATGCGGCTTTGAGGGTATCCCTTTCGACGGTCGACACTAGCCATTCAGTGTACTCCTCCACGGCTATATCTGTGGAACCCGGGATCTCGAGAGGGCTCAGAGCCGTCAAGTCAACCGCCGCCTTAGAAGTAGAAACATCTATCCCGTGGACGGTAGACTGTGAGGGCAGGACATTAATATTAATGGGAGGATATGGTGCTCCAGACCCATCGACGTGACTTCCTTTGCGCTTGCCTTTGCCGTGTCTCTCTTGCTCTTCCCTGTATAATTCGTCGCGTACGGCTTCAGGCACATCTTTATGACTTTCCAAAACCCCTCCCTTCTCAACGTGGGTGATAAGGCGTTTTATATGATGAGATTTGATTGGATAGTGTTTTTTCCCCATTGGGTCCACCCAACAATGAGGGCCATGCTGACATGTCGACGAGTCGCATCGCATCAAATTATAGACGCTACGCCAGATTGGCTTCTCGCCAGAAGCATTCTCCTCTGCATCAAGCTGTGCATCTCGTTCGCTAAGCATCCTTTTTGTAACAGATGACTTTCCTCTCTTCTCTCCTTTCCGACCAGCGGTTGGAGAAGAGTGGCGATCGTCTACGTAGTTGAAACTGATCTTCAGCGTGAGCTCCTTACCCCGGAACAAAACATCAGACCACATCACAAGCTGTTTCTCGATAGCGGTCCAAATAATGTCGGTTTCGTCAAATCGTTTCGTCAATTTGCGTTTGGTACGATCACTTGTTAATACGGTGATGACCGTATCATCAGCTGTAACCCGACGGTGGCGTGCAGTCTTCCTTCGAAGAACTTTCTCGAGTTTTTTCTCCAGGGAAAATTGCCAGAAGGAGCTAGGGGCCAAAGTAAGGTCTTCTTCCGTGTCCTGTGACACCTCCCGATTGTTGATTGTCACTCGCCACTCTATACGGTAGTGGATACAGGTTGGCGGGTCCTCCTGGTATGATCTTCCTTCTTCCCACTCAGATAGCTCAATGAACCTGAGAGACTGGGGCCCAGGTCTACTTGTTCGCTCGATTCCAGCCTCAAGTACGCTAGACGGAGAGGGGCTTGAGATAGTTCGAGCGGCGTACGGGCTGCCGAGGTACCCGGGTGTCGGAGCGTACTCCCATTGTTCAGGCTCCGTAGGTTGGGATGTATAGTCGACATTATACGGGCTCTGTGTCATCTCTAACAAGCATTCGCAAACCTTGGATCATCCACATCAGCTTCTCATTAGAACCACGTTTCAACAGCGGGCTGGCAGCGAATGAAACTCGCAAAAGGTGACACAAGCCATGAAAATAGAGATGCATCTTTGCCTACCAGGGTTAGCTCTCTACAGCATAAGCGCAGCCTTCTGTGTTATGACTGGCGGGTGGCTGCGTCGGATACGGGAACAATGAGGGGCAAGAACGGGTGGGAGAGGCGCGAAGGCTGTGAGTAGGCTGGACGATCATGCCAGATCGCCTTAGCTCCCTAAAGCTTCTACATGGTTCCATAAAAACTTACAGTATTATTACGATGACTCATGTGTCATGTAAGGCCATTACTATCAATGTTTTGCCAAACTTATAGAGCGGTAAGCTAAAGGAGGTTAGCGTATTTCGGAATTATTTTCCGGGAATGAAGTAGTAAGAGTGTGGAGGTGTAACTGATTTCGAAAACTACTGTACTCGTCAGGGCCCACGAAGTCGGATTTCTCAGCCTGTACGAGGCGTGGGCTACGAACCTGGAGTCTCTGTTGCTCCAGAGCCAATGAGACACGCAATGACGACCAGAGGAAACGAGTCCGCGATGTTGCGGCCTGCCGCCACCGCAATTCTAGCGACCTCGAGGCCCCTTTGGCACACAGGAACGATTTAAAAACCATCCGACGATAACGGTTGCAGCCTCTCATGCCGTCACCCCAAGGGGAGTTCACAGAGCCTCTCAGAGGCGCGGCTCGAAGTCGAGCAGGACACCTGTGGGGTAAAATTGGATTTGTGGGATTAGGGCTAAAGCGCATCGCCATCGGCTGCTGACCCCCTACCTCAAATCGGAGGATACTTTGGTTAGTGGATGGAAGGATTATACGCTGCAGGCTTGGGTGTATAAAGGGACCATCTGCAAGACATGGTCGGCCTAGAGAACGAGAGGATACTAGGTATCAGGAAGCAAGAAATCACGCCAACTTGTGGACTGAGGTATACTATGGCAACGATGGCTAGGAAGAAGGTTGGCGCGTCGCCATCGGCTGCCGACTAGAGATCCTTACAACACTGTCAGTATAGCCCGAGAGGACGGATGCGCATGTCGGTTCACAAGAAGCAGGAAGGTTGTTATGCCGTGACCCTAAGGGGACTTAGCAGAGCTGCAACTTGGCCTGGAGGGTGGGCTTAAGGAGCAAACGGGTATATGAGTGTGGGGGAAGGTTTTTGGCTCCGCTGGAACCCCAAAGGCTAAGATCTTGAAGGCAAAAGGATCTACGGACATCTAGGAATGAGAGTACTAGTGAGCTGGATAAGGAGCTGGGAAAGCATGGGAGGGAATTTGTCTATCTCTCCGTTGTATTGGCTTAAAAGAACAGACTAGATCTTAGTATACCAATGCAATATTATATCTGATAGATCAGGAGCCTTTCACTATCAAGGGACAGACCATTGTGCCGAGAGACCATGTCAAGATCTTGGGCGTTCTCATGGACACGAGACTCAAATACAAGGAACATATCGCGAGGGCAGCGTCCAAAGGCCTAGAAGCAGCCATGGAGCTTCGGCGACTTCGCGGCCTAACGCCAGCGACCGCACGGCAGCTGTTCACATCGACGGTGGCCCCGGTGGTCGATTACGCCTCGAGCGTCTGGATGCACGCTTGCAGGGACAAAGCCAGCGGACCGATCAACCGAGTCCAAAGGGTGGGAGCGCAAGCAATTGTAGGGTCATTTCTCACAGTTGCGACCAGTGTTGCGGAGGCAGAGGCTCACATCGCCGCTACACAACGTCGTTTCTGGAGACGGGCCGTGAAGATGTGGACGGACATTCACACCCTGCCAGAAACCCATCCGCTCCGCCGGAGTACATCGTGGATCAAGAAGTTCAGGAGATACCACCGCTCACCATTGTACCAGGTAGCGGACGCACTGAAAAACATCGAGATGGAGACACTAGAAACCATCGATCCGTTCGTGTTGGCACCATGGGAGACTCGCGTGCAGACCGATGTTGAAGCAATGGCGGACTCACATGCAGTACCGGGCGGATCAATTCAAGTTGCGGTCAGCAGCTCGGCTCGGAACCGCCTTGTGGGATTTGGGGTTGCGATCAAGAAACAGCCACCTCGGTATCGAAAGTTGAAACTGAAGAGCTTTTTCGTGACACTAGGCGCAAGATCAGAACAGAACCCATTCTCCGCAGAGCTAGCAGCAATGGCACATACATTGAACATGCTAGCGGGACTGAAAGACTACCGGATCACGCTGCTCACGAGCAACAAAGCAGCTGCCCTCGCAATAAGGAACCCTCGGCAACAGTCGGGCCAGGAGTTTGTTCGCCAAACGTATAAGTTGATCCAAAGACTGCAGAGAAACGGAAACCACATCAATATTCTGTGGGTCCCTACCAGTAACGACAATAAGCTGCTAGGTCTGGCCAAGGAGCAGGCCAGGACCGCGACCCTGAAGGATGCCGTCCCGCAAGAAGCGGTCCCCAGGATGAAGTCGACAACACTGAATCTCGCTCGGTCTCAAGCAACTGCCTACAATGACTTGCCGGAGAACGTAGGAAGACACGTGAAACGAGTAGATGCAGCTTTGCCAGGAAAACACACTCGACAGCTGTATGATCGATTATCGTGGAAAGAAGCGAGCGTGCTGGCCCAACTCCGGACTGGCATGGCTAGACTCAACGGTTACCTCCATCGGATCAACGTTGCAGACTCGGACCAGTGTGCATGTGGACAAGCAAGAGAGACCGTGGAACACTTCCTCTTCCGATGTCGGAAATGGACCACACAACGAATAGCATTGCTGCAATGTAGCAACACTCACCGGGGCAATCTCTCCTTCTTCCTGGGCGGGAAATCGCCCTCTGATAATCCGCAATGGACGCCGAACTTAGAAGCCGTGCGAGCCTCAATACGATTCGCGAGCGCCACAGGCCGACTCGACGCCTCCTAACCACGTCGACCAACACAATGACACCTTTCCCCTAACCAACCTACACCAACCGCCTTGTGCCAAAGATGGTGGACGCGCTTCAACTGCCGAAGATAGGATGTTGAACACTTGAAGAAGCGCCTTCAAGCCAGTCTACTAACCAACTTACTAACCCACAAGGATCCCTATGATATTGACAACCGAGAGGACATAGAGTGAAGGGATGCATGCATGGGCTCGAAGGAGATGCAGCATATATATATTAGGACATGTACTGATAGATCGTTTCAGTTGCCCTTTCGGCTTAGCCGCCGGGCGTTAATGAATTGTGTGTGTGTGTGTGTACTCGTCAGAAAGAGGAGAGACAAATGCCACCGGGCCGTGACTCCGTTCCTCTCCAGCCATTAGAAAGGACAGTTCGATACGTCACGGCATCGATGCTGCGCACCGACAGTGTTCCGTGGTGTATTTCATCGGCTGAACCAGCCACTCTATCCGGTTTGAATATCGGGGCGGGGATGCAACGTCTGGAATTGCACAGCCTCATTAGTAGCGACGAGGTGTCTCTTATACATTGTCCATTTTGTCTGGGTGATGAGGAAGACCGCGCGGATGAGAGCGTAATCCTACGTTGCAAAGAGTGCCGGGGATTAGCTCATCTAGGCTGCGTGGAGGAGTGGCTGCAGAAGCGCGAGGTGGCATCTAATGTGTCCTGCTGTACCTGGTAAGTCTCGATTAGCCTCCCCAGTTACTTCAAATGCTCAAACGCCGTAGCCGAAGGGACGACGCTCTGGATGCCCTGCTCCGCCCGCCGAGGACGATCACGACAAATCCCGACATAGATGTTGAAAACGCGAGAGTACATGCATCTCCAGTGGCGGAAGAGACGAATATCATCGAAAACCCTCGGCGGACCGGTTCAGCCCGTCTCCCGGCGCATTCAGGGTCATCGCGTCGCAGATCAACGGTGTCTGGCGCGGGACACAGTGTCCGTCGGTCAGCCCGTCTGGCTAACCCAACTCCTTCGCTTCGACGGTCGTCGCGTCTGAACCGATCATAGCCACAAGGTGGTGCATACGTCGGTGGTGGGTAGATGAATGAGTGTGCGAGGTACGGAGTCAATATTCAATCACAATGTTTCCTCACATGCCTAGACAGTTGTTAGATGACAATCCATTCTGGTCACCGCCACGAATCAAACTGCGCTACATATGTGCGAGAAGACTAGTAGCACGCACCCTTAATAATTCATCAAACTTTGGTGATATGGATGCGGAGACCGGGAGATTTGGGTGTTCGATTGTAGACAGTCACGGGCGAGCAATAGCGTTGAATAAGACGAATCAGAGCCAACTGGGCGCCTGCGGAACATATAGATGTTAGTATATATCATACTTGAACGGAATACAATGCAATTACCGTCCGCGCTCTTCGCGCCTTCCCATCAAAGCCTCATATGCTGCAGAGAGTGCAGACCTTGTCCGAAGGTTATTGGAGAGCAGCTTTGACGTCCTCATATGCCCCTGGTGAGACTGGATCGGATGGAACCCCGTAGAAAGCCCGATCCTCGTTCAGCGCAATCATGGCATAATATGTCGATGTGTGCGACAGACCGGTAAAGAGGCACATTCGGTGCGTCTGACGAGCGAACTGCTGGCGGCAATCACAGGGCACCACGTCGCTAGGGAGGGCTGTACCAAAGGGTCAGCGTTGTTCCCTGGATGATTAATGACCACTTACCTGCCTTATCGTGGAGCAGCGCCGTCCCAGTGTTCGCACAATTGTCATCATGAAGCACAACATGATAGTCTGGGCCGCTGGGGCCGAGTGTGCGAAAGGATTCCGCCTCATTGTCTTCCCAACTGACCAGAATGCCCCCGGGGTATGGCTTCAACTTGATGCTGTGCGGGAGATACCGCAGTCGCCGTCCAATCTGGCGCATGAATTTCATTTCAGCTGGTCGAGACGTCGGATGTGCTTTGAACATGGATGCAATCGATCGAACCAAGAGCTCTTCCACCACATGGCAACAGAAAAAGGGGGCGTTTGTGTCGGCAAGGTTGCTCGGAGACCAGGGCCGGCAGAATGACCGGTGGTGCATACGAGCAAAGTCTAACCATCGGCAATGTATCTTGAGCATGCCCTGTCCCTTGTCAAAGTATACGTCGACTTTGCCGGCTGAGCCTCGGACGTAGAATACCTGAATATGGTCGGTGAACCTCAGCAGAGCGAAGCAGGCTCGCAGCGCTCGGTCGACTGCTCTCGCGAATGTGGTGTCTGGGACGACGCAGGGCATCGCATCCTTGAACAGCTCTTGCTGCTCCTCTTCGACGGTTCGGATAGGGCAGTGGGCACGCAGTATGTGCCACAGCGTGTCGGGCAGGCGGGCAGGGCGCTGGCCGAGGCTGTCCCGGATGGTGTTCACGGTCTGTCTGCATCAGTTATCAAAATGCGACACTATCTCTGCCTGAATACGTACTTGATCATTGCTTCTCTCGCTGTAAAAGAATTCCTTCCCTGCTGACTTGCGCAGCAAGTATTGCCAGATCCGACGCACCGCCGGTGGCTCTAAATGAGGGCCTACCATCTCGGCGTCGGCAGAACGGGCGTGCTTCCGCAGAAGATCGACAAGTAGAGGCAAAATGGTGTCTTCCTGCTTGCGTAGAGCTTCCTCCCATATCTGTTGTACTTGACGAGCCGCATCCCGCCAGGATGCTAGTCTGCGACGGTCGCGGCAGGTGGTCGAATAGGCGAAATTGTACGCGAAGAGGAATGCGCCGCCCACGGTGGAATTGTTCAAGGTGATCCCATTGTGATACAGCTGACCTCGAAGCTGGGGATCAAGAATCAAGTCGCCATGTGGTGTGGAAATGATACTGGAAGGGAAGGCGAGTCCGCGAATGTCTATCGTCGTCAAACGGAGCCAATTCAAAAACGCGTCTAACGCGACTGGTCGGCCTGACTTGGCCCGCGTCGCGCCGATCACCACTGCCACATCCCTCTGCACATGGTAACGTAGGCTTGCCATGTCGAGGGCAGGATCGGTCCACTCGATCGACTTGGTTTTCTGAGATGGTGTGACAGCACAAGAAACCGAAGAGGCGTCTGTGTGCATGTCAAACCTCCAATTGCAACCGCTTGCGGCGATACTCACGTTGTAACGATTTCGAGAGAGAACCAGGGCCGCCAGCTTGAGACCCTCCCCGTGATGTCCCACAAGATGGTTGTGGGCACTGTGCGCATCTTTTGTTGAGACTCCCATAGTTAAAGCACTGATGGGTAGTTGCATGCATGCATTTGCGATCGTGATTCGACCGGTCTTTTTTCGTACTGAATGAAACCTAGTGCGCGTCGATTCTCATGCTCCGCTGGCTGGTCGGCAAGATTCTGGGTCGGGAACAATGATTGAGAGATGGTCACTGTAGTCTTCCACGAATGGCTGGAAGCTCTGACGGTCAAGATTGAATCTTTCCATGATGGCGTCCTTCCTGCGTTGATTAGCGTTTGTCCAGCGGAAGAGGCCAGCACGTACCAATTTTGATACAATTCCCGAAAAGCATCTGCTGGCACCCAGTCTTTGACGTAGCTGGGGGAGATGCCGAGAGACACCACGCGTCGGGGCGCTCGGTATGTAGCGAGTGTGGGTTTCTGACTCTGTAGCAGCTCGCGTTCAAGCTGCTCGTTCGCCTGAGCCATCAGGCTATCGTCTTCGCTTGTTGTCAGTGTCATGATTGGTTGTCATACTTGAATATCGTGTAGGTGATCAAAGTGGGTTGGTTTTGGGAAGAGAATTGACTGGAGAAGGGTGACGGTATTTATATTCTGGCTTCCGTACTGAACCACGAGACCTATTCCAAATGTTGAGCAACGGTCACCTTTCTATCTTACTCTAACAGTCTTATGATGAGGGCAAGTGCCTCACTTCCTTGAGCTTTGCATGTAGGATTGACAAGTGAACGTTCCACGCGCTCTGGTTTCAAGTTGATTCTCAACGTTAACGGCGTGGCTCACGTTTACAGGTGATGCAACTGGCGTTCGCCCACTGCTTTCCTTGTGCCCGCTCAACATTGAGTCAACATGGTTGCAAAACATTTGCCCAGAGTGTATGTTGGCGCTGCATTTATAGATAACCAAAATGAGCCTACAGAACTGCGGTCGCACAACCGATGTTTCTCTAATATAAGGAAATTGCTCATGGTTTTTAGGCATAGATCACCAGGAAGAAGGAAACATCTTTAGCTCCACACTGTATGACCTGCGCACTGCTTACACAGAGTAATAGGCGGACTCTCATTCTTCTCACTAAGCAGGACACTCAAGACGGGCAGTTGCTAGTGATCTGTGCTTTATGAATGCTATGGACCATTCTAGAAAGCGCATGGGCCGTAAGGAATCAAGGTTATTAGGTCCTCTTTAAATAGCTACTAAGGTCGGCATTGATCCCGGGAACTCAATGCTCTTTCGAGGAGAGGGTATATCGTCGCGAATACCAGGCTCTTGGGCCCCAGGAACGCAGAAAGGAGGTCAGGATTAATCACAGAGATGTCCAGGTGCCTTGCCTATTCTAGTAAAATCTCGTCTGCTCCCTCAGTCTTACTAATATATATGGGTGGCTCGATAGCAAATAGAATAGACGAATAATCTCCAACCTATCTCAGATCTGGCTCGGGAAACGGGGGATGAGTGACTATTACTCCTAGCCTTTTCCCACTATGTGGATTGGGTTTTTCGTGAGCTAGAATTGACACCATCATACTGCTGTATAGCAAGTCTCCCGTGTGCGACAATCTTCCCTGAAAAGCACCTTGCTTCAGATCGGGCATAAAACGACCAAAAACAAATTAGCAGTGACAATGAGCCGTTTCATTGGTTTACCAGAGGGGCCACCTGTAATTATCTGTCAAGTTTTGTACAAATACATCTGGATTCAGACATGTTGCCATGGGTTGCGTTGTATGCAAAGGGAAGTCCGCATCTGGGAAATATGTGGGCAGCTCCGTGCGCGGCCGTAAAGACAATCGGAAGACTCTCGGCTGGTCCTCCCTAGGTCCAGAGATGATATCCAGAATTTGTCTGCGCACCCAGTAGAGATCGTATCTGCCATATTGGGTCGAAGACAGGTGGAACAGATGCTCCTTAATTGTCTCACCAGTGAGCTGATCTAGCTCCATGAGGCGTATCTCCACCCAATGCAGTATCCTCGCTGGAACAAATGCCGACATGTAGAGCATTAGATCTTTGCATTGAGTCGTAGGGGAAAGAAGATCTGGGCCCGGCCAGTTGAAGGCTGCTTGTGGATTCTCTGGGTCAGGAAAAAGAAGGCAGTTCACTGAAGGTGGTATCGAAATGTTAGAGTCAACCTGTTGGCCTCCAATGGTTGGATCTCGCAAAATATCACATTCAGTGGCCAGGAGGGGTGGCGTTGCTGGGATGTCGGATGAAGTGGACCAAAACTCGTGAAGGCCAATATAGTCTAGACTGTGATGAGCTTGGAACATCACGTTGTGGTGCAGCGCCTGGGCATACCTTCATCGTCAATCTTCATGTTCTGCTGTCGTGGTCTTTTGACAACCAAGTGATAGTCTTCCCAGAGATTAACAGGGAGGCGTAGTATGAGCGACTGGAGACTGGGAAAGCCCTTTATATAATTGAAAATCTAGATCAGATGGTCAGGGATGATAGATTGTTACTTTCGACGTAGTAAAAGTGCCTTTACCTAGAGCCAGGAAGCCGCTTTTCTTTCCTCTTGATGTCATATCACCTAGATTGGCATACAATGTTTTAATATCTGGGTCATTTCCATTGACCAACGATTCCCTGTTAACTAGCACTGTGAGCGTTGGGATTGAATCTAAACAAAGTATGTGGTAAAGTCGAAAGTTATAATGTCACAACTCCCAGGTTTAGCAAAGCATTTTGAAACGTTTAACATCAACATCAACATCAACATCAACATCAACATCAACATCAACATCAACATCCACATCGACATCACCACCCACACCGACATCGACATCGACATCAACAATATCGTCATCAACGTTCCCTCCAATCCATGATTGCGCGTGGAATAAACTTGACTACAACAGTCGGGTTTCTCATCTCTTAACAGGTGCTAGCTAACCTATTTCCTTCAGAAACCGAAAGAATTTCTTTTTCACCAGCTAATTTACCCTCTATTTTCCAACTCCATAGATTAGAGCCGAACCTGGACAAAAACGTTTGCTTTCGTAACATTGGCATGAGATGGGAAGACCATGTGTCATCTCCAATATATGACCTCTTTCAAATTCGGTGGCTGGATTACGCTGTAGATATCACTTATTGTGCTTTTCATAGACTGCTATGTTCTGTAATATTCCAAGGAATTCCAAATACTATAGTTCTGTCCTCCGAAGCGTGAAGCAAGGTTCAGTCACTGACTAACATGCCGATCGCATCATCTAAGGCGCCTTTTCTCACAGACCCAGTGGACATAGTTGCAAAGCTTGGAAAGTGATCGACTCCCTTGTTGGTTGTAGTCCGCTGAGTATAGTTCATGAGCTGCAAGAGCAGGTAAGCGTTTGACCGAACCAAAAGCGAAGGCTTTCTCATACCACATGTTGATAGTTCTGCCGATGGCAGTTCTTGAGTCTTAGCGCACTTTCGTGCAACCTCTGGAATGCCCTGAAGCCATTGTCCAACCATTCTGCGATCGATAGAATCATTACTTGAGAGACTGCATTGCGCGTTGTCGTCGGTGACTTTCAGACGTCGGGATTTCCCGCGGGTCTTCGAGGTAGTCGCCGCCGTGTCCGTCTCACACGACCAAAACGGCGTTTTCGTAGGATATGATATTTTTTCCCTCGTAAGGATTCAACAGATCGGTTCAGCCCGAATTGCTTCGAATAAGCTTGGGCGTGATCGGTCCACGGCAGTTCGCTATTCTCTTCTAGCCAGGGAAGAAGGTTATCTTCTTCCCATTCCGACCATCCTGTTGCACTGCGCGAGTACATGGCGATAATCTCATTCACAGTGGTTAGAAGATGGTTGGTGCACGGCGAAAATAGAGGGTAGGTAGGTGGACTTTGTTGAGCTTTAATCCTTCTGGTTTCGCGTGATTTGCTTTGGGTAGACTATTCGGTCTGCACACAAGCCAGAAGTCAAAGTCAGAACGGACAACAATAAACCGCTACAACAAACAGATTTGGATTAAGCTGTGTCCAAAATAAGCAGCTTCCCTCTGCACCGATCTGGATGGTCATCGACAAATAGTCGAACACACCAATCCAAGCAACAGTCAAACGCTTTGCCTTGCCCGCCTCTTTTTGATCACTTTGTATCGAGGTCCAGATCGAGGGATGCTATTATGCATAGGCGAAGGCAGAGAAGGGCTCTGGCTCATTTGACGAGCCGGTAGTATGGAGCTGGGTTGACCGCGAATAAAGAGATCGTGGCGGTATGCACCCCCGATTTTGCGAAATCCATAGTAATAAAGTCGCCGAACAAGCGAATGGTAGCTTTTGGTGGAGAGCTTTGCAAGCAAATGCGCTGGAAATTTGTTCGCTTGAGCGAGAATGATCGACCGCTCATCTTCTGACCAGCGCAGTGTTTCCGTATTTCTCGGATCATCAAGAATACTTTCACGAGTTAATTAAAAAGTACAAAGATTGGGATCCCGGGTTTTTGTTCACTTACTCGCTCAGGCTTTGGATAAAATCTGACAAATGTAATCTGGATCCTTGGCTTGGAGTCTCTGGATTCTCGTGTTGTCTGTTATTTCCCGAAACAGAGGCTCCTGCCTGGCCTTTTTCGTGTAGCTCTTTAATGATTGGCAGAGTAGCTTGATCACTATTGGAATAATGGATATCCCCACGGGTGGGAGGCGGATCTTGGTCGCTTAGAGTATCCTCTCTCGAAATCCTAACATTGGAAGCCCGTGAATCAGGAGCGGCTTCATCAGGAGGATTGGTTCGAACGCCGCCAATTTCCAGAGCTTCTTCTTGAGGAGCAGTATGGGGCTGATCTCGAAAGAGTTGAGCAACTATATCGTGATGATTCGTGAGACGTTGCGTAACTACCGACATGTTTTCCAAGACTGCCGTCGCCTGGGTTAGCTTTCTATGCACTATTGTAGAGAGGGGTTGGACTATGAGCTGCCCACCTTCAAGTATTTTCTGCCGAGTATCGTCAAGTTCCTGTAGTGCCATCTCACTCGACCGAAGTTCCTTTTTGCAATCGCCTTTATCTGGCCAAGGGTACAGAAACCGCCAAGGCCTACCAGAGCTAAGCAGTTCAAAGTCAGTCTCTGGTAATTCGACCAAGGATTCTCCGATCTTTAGCTTTGATGGACCCTCAAAGTGAGGGCCGGCAAAGAGGACGATCTGCGTCCAGGTCAATGGTGGCCCCTCCGTCACGGTGGGCGTTGGGGTCAAGAAAAGGTTTTCTAGGCACTTGCTCAGGCGAATACTGGCCAAGTCCTCCCCGCGGCCGAAGGCAATACTCCCACCCCCCTTTAACACTGATAAGTAGCTGTCCAGTTCGGCCGAGAACTCGGAAAGGGAGATATCTCTAGCGCTGAGAGGCTGTAGACTTCTATCATGGCGGCAAGTGATAAAGTCGTTCGATTGGTTATAAAGAATTTGAGGAGGTTCATCGACATTTTCGTCGTTGGCGGGCATTTTTTTATGGATCGAAGGCTTTTTGAGCACCCCCTGGACAGGGAACAAGGAGATTCGGTGGTCATCAGCAACCCCTTCAAAATTGAAATTTACAGGCCTCATTCCCGTCTTTGATTGGTTGGCTCCGCGAGAGTGGACTTCCGTGATTACTCAGCAGCTGTCCCAGCCACACAGAATTCCAAAGCTGTGGATCCACTCAACCGAGCATGGGAGGACATCGGCGACGTTCAATGATGTCCAAAGGGGTCGTACCACTCAAGGTAGGGGGTTAGCTTCGAATTTATAGTTGATGGGGACTTATCTGGAGTGTGAATAACAATAGTTCAATTCTCGGGCTCCCGACCCATTCCTATGAAAACACATCATAGAAATTGAAACTTTGGAGCACTTGTCCGTGCTGGCCCCAAAAAGTAATATGGCTCTACTCCAACAATGCCGAGGTATCACGTGATCGACGTCCCTGTTGGCGGTTAAAATTCGCTTTTCTTCTCTTTTTCATTTTCTCTCCAGACTCGTTCTCCGTCCATTTTCCGTGCTTAAATTGTTATCCTTTCTCTTTGAACTGACTACTGTACCTGGTTACATCTGCGACAAACTAACTACACACCTTTCATTTCACACGCTATCACATCGGGCGCTATCCAAATAATAGTTCGCGATGAGCACTGTCGACAATGATTCTGACGATTCCCAGCTCGATGAGGAAATTCGCCAATCCGCCAACAACTTGGAAGGAATACGCAAACGCAGACGGCTCATAGAGCTGCAGACACAGATTGCGGATGAGGGCAGATGGCTGCAAGAAGCGCAGGAACGCCTCAACAACGCTCAGCAAAGCGTGGGCCACGATGCTTCTGGTTCGACCAGTCGGCAATCGCCAGTGGTCTCTAAATCACCTGTCATCTCGAAGTCGCCCTTATTCTCTATTGCTCCTGGCCAAGACAGCGGCGGCGCTGTCGATGCCTTAATTAAATCTGTTCTGAATTCTACAGGCAATAATATGACGTCTGTCAATAGCAACACGCCTACAACAAACCAAATGCGGATGGTCAACGGGGAAGTGAAATCGGTGTCAACAGCTCCGGTGAGGTGGGGAAACGACGCCGCTCCTGGATTTGCCCGATCGGAATACTCTCCCTACGGAGAGAAAGAGAGCAACGAACAAAAGTACAAGGCTTTATCCAACAACGGACACGAAGCAGAGAAATTAACAGACGCAGTTCATTCTCAACAACATCTAATCACTCATCCCTTTCCGCCGTGGACACACACCCAACCTGCACCTCCTCGTCGAATCCTAGCCACTCCGCCAAGTCCGCCAGGTCTAAATTTTGGATCCTACCGGGGAAGAAAGAAGATGTGTTATAGAATTCCCTTGCACGGTTGTAGCGACCTGAAGAAATAAAAGATCGAGGGCCATTTTGGAAGCCCATTTCGCCCGCTACCCCGGCTACTGCACGGAGGCTCGCAAAGTAGAGCTCGCGGCAAAATACATCGGGCACAACCTGATGAATCAGTGGCACGATCATATCATGAGGCCTGGAAACACGACATGGAACTCGTATTGCACGTTCCTGGCTCAGCAGCCCTCACGTCGGGCGAGTCGCCAGCAAGCGAATTTTGGAATTACAACCGCTGAACAGAAAATTGCTCAACCTGTGACGCATTTTGCTTTCTGGCTAATTCAGTGGGCGCCTGTCCTTCCCGAAGTCAGCACCAATGACTTTATGGTCTATCTGCTGAGAGGGGTCCTCCCTGATATTCGTAGTCGCGCGCAAAAAACATACACGCAGTTTTCGGATTATACTTTGTTTACTGCGTATCTGCAGGAAGTTGAAAACTCAATCCCGTCCCGAGCGAAAGTCCTCGGACGACGGAAGAATAGTACCGCCTAAAATGACGAGGATTTCGTCCCAATGGATGAATATGAACGCAAACCCAAAGATATTTTGCTATCACAACCGCCAACACAACCTGCGCAGCGATCTAGGGATTTGCCTCCAACAAAGCTGCGCAGTCAACTCGAACGTCGACTGTCACCAAACATGCGCGCTCCTCGGGAGTTGTCGTTCTACTCGGCACGCAGCTGGTGGCAATATAAAACCTTTATGTCACAATTGCAAGATCACTTCGACAAGCACGGGTACCACTGCAAGGAGTCTCGCAAAATCGAGATCTCCAGGGCCAATCTCTCGCGTGCATTGCTTGAGAAATGGGTCGAGTATGCCTCTCGCCTTAAATCAGTGACCTGGTTCGCATTCTGCGTTTTCCTCGTCTACCAAATTCCTTCCGGAGGGGCCGGAAACTTCAAGTACTCCAATACTTACCGAAGGTCTAACCAGTCAGTGTACGCCTTTGCGCTCGAACTACTTCGTTGGGCCCCGGACAACTTCGGTGCGAAACACAACCATATATGGGACCGAATACTTTCTGAACTCCGATCAAGGGCCCACAAAACCTGGAAGGACTTTGACGAGTTCCATGTCTTTGTTGCTTATCTGCAGCAGGTCCAGGACTCGTTTTAAATCCGGCAACAGGGAGCAGATCATAGCTATCTCCCCCATGAAAGCGTTTTTCGTGTCGATGGTGGCACTTGAGCACGAAACCCTGGATTCCTCCTCTATGAAGGAGACTCGAGACTCGTATGGAGTTGAGGATTGTACAGTGGCACTGTGAGTGGTGTTCTAATTGTACATTCTTATTTCCTCTATGTAAATATTGATAGGGCGAGGGCATAAGCGTTGATTCATTGTGATGAAATCTAAATCATACTCATTTCGGTCTGCTGCCAAGCGTCACGTCATATCGGTTATCTCATCTGCGCTCAACTCACCCCTACAGCATGTTTGATATCCCAATAGCAGGGTTCTGCGAGAGAGGCCCCGCCAGCCCCAGCATTACGCAACCAGACAAGACAATGCACGTCGTAAATGGTGTCGGAAGTTTGGCTGTCGACCACGTAAATTTTCTCGTGAGCCCCATTGTTGTCGGAATCGTGCTGAGATCGCGTCTGGCTCGGTTTCACTTTGTCTGCAGCAGAAGGCGTATGGCCTTTGATATAAATATAAATGATGATCGTGAACGCAGCCCAACAAGTAGGCCAAACCCTACACAGATAACCAGATCTTGGCCATGCCGAGGCTGGGATAAAATACAACACACATAGCCGCCAAGTGCGTCGTGGTGAATCTGTTTCCTCCCTTAACCTTGCTAACCCCGAGCAACTCGGCTGCTTGCTGATGGCTGAGTTCCACGACGACCACGGGGGATGAGTCGTCAAACTCTGTTGGGGTGATTGGTAATTGTTTGCTGAACTTGTCGTTATCAACGAAGAAGGTGCGGAAGAACGCCGTGTCCATTTGTAGCTGTCAGTTCTTAGCGTGGGCTGGATGGAAAGAATTTGCCCGGCTTACACTTAAGACTGTCCGGTTGAGTGCGTATTTGTTCAAAGCCAGCGAGGCCTTGACGTGGTCTCCAATTTGCTTCTTGTTCATCGAGCAAGTCCCAGCATTTTTGACAGCTTTCTTGGGTTTAGCTGCTGTGCAAGCCTTCTTTGTTGGTTTGTTCTGGTCCACCTCGACGGATGAAGATGTGCGCTGTATAATTTTTGTTAGTGGCATGTGTTGGTTGAAGAGCTTTGCTGCTCCTGGGCCCTCCAGAACAGTTCCAAGAAGTAGTCATATGTCCTCCGAGGAGCGAATGAAGTTTTGACAACTTCTGTCTCCTTTTCTGACCCCGCCCGGGGACATACTTTGATAAAATGAGGAAAATACAATTAAATTGTGCTCGTTATTCGGAACTAAGTTTTAATTTGAAATTTACTTGCCTCTTGGCCCATCTCTAAATCACTGAATCAACATTGATCGACGACGGTTGTGCCCGATCGAGTGCTCTATTTGAGCATCTTCTGGAGGAGCTCTTTCAATCGAAATATAGCATTTTGGGGTGTGTCTACGCTTTCTGCCTGTCCGGATACAGGCATTAGTTTCGAAGAGCCGTGGGGGTGGGGATCGCAGACGGTCTCCGTCGAGAACGCTTCACACTCGAGTATCAGCCACGGTCAATCTTTGTCACCACTCCACTTGAGAGTTCTACAAAACAGGCAACGATCGCAAATAGCTGGAATGATCCGAGCGTATTCCTGCCTACCAGAGAAAACCCCTCAACTGTAGGACAAGCAGTCTGTTATTCGACTTTCCCCAGCTATGACCTTTATTGTCTTTACTGGTTATCTCAAGCTGTAATCCTTTGATGATTTCAGATACGACTCCAAGGCTTCTAGATATTTGATGTATAACTTGATCCTGATAAAAGAACGGGGCAACGCTTGCCAAACGCCGCTGCTACCTATATCTTTCGTGAATCCAGCATGTCGGCGGTTCTGAGAACCCCCATTTGGACAGTGACTCATAATATAATATCTCATTCAAATAAATCAATGACATACGGATTTATACGATGTAGCGTCAAAACCCATAAGGAGCCTCGTCCAACCAAAATTCCAACACGATGCCATTAGCTATAGAGTCTCTACCCTGAGAAAATATATTTCGGCTTTATTCCACGACCTCCACGTCAAATTTTGGCGTAAAGTTTGTAAGACTCAACTCCAGGGAAGACAAGGACGAGACCAAGTGATCTGAGGCGGTAGCTGAGGGAATTGTCAATTCATTTGACGACGGGAGGCTCGTATCGTCCCTATCAGTCTCGTATTTGGCCTCACGATTCGCCTGAAGGCTGGGTCGTTGGAAGGCACGAGGTGGCACATTCATCCCACACACCGTGTGCACAGATTCGCAGTTTGACTCTTGGCGTGAGTGGAGACGTGATCGTCCCACCAGATTGGCATTGCTGTCTTGCCGGGCGTATTCGGGCATCTCACAAGCCAGAGTAGGAGGGGACGTATATCCCAGCTTTCTCAGACGATTCAAGACTGTGAATTCTAGTTTCAGCTTGATGCTATAAACCACGGTTTTGAGGCTGACTTCGATGTAGTGAAGCTTGTACTCGGCCACAAGCAGCAGGATATTCATCAGAACCACAAGAATATTGATCCAGAGTAGATGAAGGATGATTTTTCGGTCGTTCTGGTGATGTAGATCCCGCTTATCTCTCTTTCTTTCCAGTGCCTGGTGTATATAGACTCCCGAGAGAACCAATTCCTGCATACAGAATCCGGTCACCTGGATCCGATCGTAGATAGCTGCCGGTCGGGAAAATTCGCTGTGACCACTATTCAGACCGTAGAAGAGTACCGTCATCGGAATATGCAGTACGAAGAAATTTGTAATAATCATCCATAGCACCCAGCGAAGCTTCTGGGGGTTTGTCGCAAGCACATTCAGGCGGGAATAGAGCACCACGGCTTGTCCAGTCACCATGGCATACCACCCCAGAATGAATGGTATTGACATGGCCAGGTTGGATGACTGAGATAGAAATCGTATCATAGCCGGGATTGTATGGACCAGGATGCCCCACGATGCAACCTGCATACTCCAGAAATAGAGCCCGCGGTAACGTCTGAAAAAGTCGAACACGGCGATTCCTGTCTCCAAGGCGTTGTAAGCGCCGATAGAAAACATGGATATAATTTGAACGATGGAGATGTTCTCGATGAGGATGGCTCCTACGTTGGGCGGCAAGTTGGTGATCGTTGTGTCCATGGCAGCGTAAGGCAGGCGTAAATGGAAAGATCAGGACTGTGAACTGAGACAAACGAGGTCCAGTGAAATATCACTCTCGGCCCTAGCTATTTATTATTATATTGGCATGGGTGACATAATCACACATGAGAAGGAGCTCCTTAGACCATTGTAGGAGATTTCACCTTCAAAAGTCATGATGTATTCTATCCGGAACGATTTCACTGTACAACAAGGGGAAATTAGAGAAGTTCTAGTAGAGATTTACTTCGAGTCGTATCAATTCTCGGGGAATCAGTACTTCTGAGACCCCCTTGTGGGTGGGGTAAGGGTTTTTCTGGATCAAAGGCGCGGGCTGGCGGCGATAAGGAATGGCCCAAGTAAAGCCACAAAGGTTAGTTCCCCTGAATATCCATGGATGAGAAAATATTGGAATCATATTTGTCAATGATCGTTTTCGCACGCTGATGGAAATGCCCCTGTTCCAACAAACTAGGAGTCAACAATGCAATGGACAAATAAGGCGTGAATGAATCCATATAGTTGATCCATGGAACAGATATGGTTGAGATCGCAATTTCCATGATTCATCAGCTTTGAATTTGGAATTGTGCCCCTTGGTTGATGCTGGTGGGCCCTGAGAAGTCTATCACGCACGACTATCACTTATTCCGGCGTCGCGGGGTCGGTAACTCCTATCCTGGCTATACCCGTCCCAAACTCCTCGAAATAACTTAACCCATTTTGACTTAACCCATTTTGACAGTAAAAGCCCCCGTTGCCGAAAGAACTCATGACTCATGCAGGTCAAGTTGATTCTGTTGCGCATCACATTTTTGAGGTACGTTTATCGGGAGGGAACTTCTAGAACAAGTCCGGTTCATTTTTGACCCACTCCGGTACTTCACTGCCAGCGAAAACGAGGCTGCGAGCGAGCCACTCAAATAACTTGAAGCAAAGCTTAGTTATTGGATAGCCAGAAAGGAGAGTGCCAGCTTTTTGCTCCGAGAAGGGAGCGTTGCGTGTGGGGCTACACGGGATCAGCAAGTGTTGCTGTAGTCTCTCCCTTCGACTTGGACTTGGCACGTTGAATTAAGTAAATTTACTGCGTGACATTTCAAACTCTCGTGAATGGAGTCCTCATGCCAATTCCCGTGAGCAATAGAAGCTGGTGTTGTAAATTTAAGATGTCCATGATCTGTCTCGCAACGTCAGCTTCCTCGATCATCACATAGAGTCAGTTGCAAAAGCTTGAGCAGCCCCATACCTTTGACTATCTTACAGAAATAAATTACCGCAGGTGCTCTAGATCGGTCCGTGGGTGTTCAAGGTTTGAGTTTCAGCATTGACCTGAAACAGTCCTTATTGTAACTCTACAACAAAGAATTATTTGCAGATTCAACAAAAGGATCCACGTTACGAATGTTTCAAACAGATATACACAATTCAAGAGAATCATTTGTTGTGACTGATCAATTTAGTGAGGCATTTTGCTAATATTCTATGCTCATTTTGAGCACCACGAAAGTGGTGTGCAGGGACTTCCTTATCAAGTTCAGAATGATGGTGTGCTCTTTTGGGTGCTTTATGATCCGAATATGAATATGCTCGCAAAAAATATCAATTTCTCTCCACATTAGGTCAACTTTAAGTTCTGCACTAAGATTTTCTGGGCCATCGGTGAGGTACTCCAGAAAGTAGCAGGGCGCAAATTCTGATGCTAGTTCAGTATCCAGCATTTCATTGCCCTGAAATTTAGCTGAGTTTGCCTCATGTTTCACATTTCGTATTATGACCATCGATATATAATCCGCCAGTTTTCCATGAAGAGTGACCACTATCATCCCTGGCTCTCTTGCACGCCAGGGTTCAACTGTCCCGAAGCTGAGATTTCATGATGCAGCCCAGCATTAAGTCTACCCAGAGTGAGAGAGGTTACTCAAGGTCAAAGCCAGACGTTCACATGGGTGAATCGGGAAGATTTTATTCTCGACCGTCAGCTACCTGCAACACCTATAAACACCGTGTACTGCGATCAGCCAAGCGCTCAGCTACAGATCAGGTAAGGTCCTTTTTGACTTTGTGAATCTTCATTTATGGCTAGACCTTCAAACAAAGTTTTCCCATCGTTTGCCCCCGTATTGATCTTGACTACAAGTTGCCATTTCCGCACAAAGAGCGACGACAAGACGACAGTCACGACGGTCGGTCTGTTCACAAAGAATGCTTCAAACACATGAGCAGGGTCCAAGAAAAGCTTTTCAGAGCCCTGGAGGACCAGGATCAAGAGCGAGTAGAGAGTGCCCAAATCATACAGCGACTGCAGATGGAGAAGGCGGAAGAAATGACGAAATTAAGAAAGGCACTGGCAGACAATGAGAGTCTTTCATGCGAAGCCAAAAATTTGCAGGTGGAAGCCAGTCAGTTGCAGCAGCAGCTTGAATCTTTCAATTCCGCCGTGCAAGGCCAAGTGGCATGGAATGATCTCCAACCAGCTCTGTATCAAGCGCATGGTGACCTGATAGCAGCGGCCACGCAATTCTGGAGAAATATGGAAGCCATTCAGAACCGACAGCTAGCAACCTATTTGCCAGGGTCTGGAGTGGTGGATGCAGCATGGGCCGGTCAGGTCAGCGCACAAGGTCCCATCGTCCCTACGTCATTGCCAGAAATTTCAGAACTGGGTGAATAACTTACTCTTTCCTACCTCAGCAAGCGGCGACATCTGCAGATCAGAACCCGCGGATTGCGTTAGAGTAAAAGGCTTGGGCCGCCGTGCGACTGTTTCCTGCGTTATATTTTTGATATATTTTTGTACAAAGTGAATACCATCTTCCGGTTATGATCTCGCGTATCATGATGTCGAAGTTCATGTCGACCATGGCCCTTTCAAATCGTACCTCATAGTAGCGACGCATGGGGCATAGTCTTCCATTGCGGGGAGACCACTTCACACTTGGGGAAAGCACTATTGATCTGCTAGCCGCCCGGGGAGAAATGGGGGGCAGGGGCCCACTAGGCGCGTATTTTCACCCTTGGTTTAAGGAATATTATGTAAAGAGAAAACTCACACCAGTCAGCCCCACTGCCGATCGTGGTCTAGCCTTCTTCCAACTGAATCGAAAACTCAATTTCCCATGATCGGCCGGGATCTACGGTCCTACGAAAGTCTAACTGGTACGCAGCGTCTCCACTTGTTGCCTTATTCTTGCCCTCTTTCAAATACCCCGTCCGGTCCCAGCTATGTGGGACTACATTCTAGGTAGAGCACAGTTTGTCCTTTATTAGGCCAGGCTTAACGCTATACGAAGTTGGCGAATCCATCAGATGTTGCCTTTTCAAACGACGTATTCACCATATGGACAATATTTGTCCACGGTCATGAATTTCATAGCGATGGTCCATTTTGATGTTCACAAGATCTATGTAGGGAGACTAAAACACTTGAAATGATCTCGCTCACCGCCTCAATGACCGTCTCCGCTCGGTCCGCCGACTCTCCCGCGGGACCTGCTGTCCAACTTGCGAGGCCATGCTGATTCTCCCTTCCATGATAGCCAGTCGACCGAGTATATCAGCCAAATCGGCGCGGACCACCTCATTCACATTCTCCTGGTCGTGCATAGAATCTTCCACAAGCCTGTGCCATGGATTATCCCATACGTTCCACTAGATGATACGATGCACCCGGGATCAATTTACTTCATTCTCACATCTAGCCTTGGAAACAAAAGGAAAGTCAGCTTGGAAGCTTTCGAGACAGCGGAGGTGACACTTACTCTGCGACGCATTCTAGAGCTATCATATCACGATCTCTTGGCAAGTCCGTCACTTGTTCAATATTGCCCGCCGTTTGAGCAGTCGGGAACAATTCAGGATCGATTGGTTTGTCATATGTAGGATCAACACTGTCGCTATGCACGCTAGATCCATGGCTCTTCGAGAGGACCGACTGCTGATCCTCAGTAGTGTCACCGGTGGATGACTTAGGTGCACCATGAATATCCTCGCTCTCGGATGAAGATAGACTCAACGCACGTTGTAGTTGTTTTCGGAAGTCAGGCCGTCGAGAGGAATACGTGGAAGACTTTCGAATGGCACCCATACTAGTGTCGGATGTCGTGCAACAGACGGCGTATTCTGTGGCTTTTTGGTTCACAGAGCAATCCTTATGTACTTTTCGACTAAGCCACAGTCAATTGTCTTTTTAGGTTTTAATTCACAATTCAATGAGATCCTAGCCCCCGTACCCGTACCCCGCTATGCATTTCCGTACTTTCCATTTCCGGCGCCGAATATAGAGATCAATTTCTGACGATCTGATTTTTTTTCCCTTGAGTCAGCGTTGATGGTCCCATCAGCTCAAATGGCAACCCATGTTATTGAATGAGATCTACATTCTAGCACGAGGCACAGAGCACGCGTGAATTGAAAAAAGGGTTGTACCAGTTTCAAACTCTGTCTTTCACCGTTGAGGCGTGGAATTATCAACATGATAAATGCAGCACTTTCAGTTCCATGGTTTGATCTTAAAAGTTTATTTAATGTTACATCCTTTATCTATGGGGCCGACGCTTGTGTGCCTCGACTTGGTTCGGTTCGGCCAACGTTGACAACCGTCGTTGTTGGTGGATAGGATATGTGTTGATGCGGGTCTTGTTAGTCAATTCATTTAGTGTAATCAATTCAATCAACCATTCAGAGAAATTACTTGATGACCCATGGTTCGTTGGGAAAGGATACGAACCTTCGATCACGTAAAACCAGAAGGATTAAAGCTCAACAAAGTCAACCTACTAGCCCTCTGTTTTCGCCGTGCGCAAAAAATATTCTTCCCATTGCGAGTGAGTTTATCACCATGCACTCGCGTAGTGCAACAGGATGGTCGGAATGGGAAGAAGATAACCTTCTTCCCTGGCTAGAAGAGAATAACGGACTGCCGTGGACCGACCGTGCCCAAGCTTATTCGAAGCAATTCGGGGTGAGCCGATCTGTTGAATCCTTACGAGGGAAGAAATATCATATCCTACGAAAACGTCGGCTTGGTCGTGCGAGGCGGACACGGCGGACGACGACCTCAAAGACTTGCAGGAAAAACCGACTTCTGAAAATCACCGACAACAACACACGAGGCAGTCTCTCAAGCAATGATTCTATCGATCGCGGCATGGTTGGACGATGGCTCCAGGGTATTCCAGAGGTTGCACAAAACTCCGCAAAGTCTCAAGCGCTGCCGTCGGCAAAATTATCAACATGTGGTATGAGAAGGCTATTGCTTTTGGTTCGATCAAACACTTACCTGCTCTTGCAGCTTATGAAATATACTCACCGGACTACATCCAACAAGGGAGTCGATCAAGTTCCAAGCTTTGGAACTATGTACACTGGGTCTGTGAGAAAAGGCAGCATAGATGACGCGGTCGGCATGTTGGTCAGCGACTGAACCTTGCTTCACAATTCGAATAGAACTCTGTGTTGGAATTTCTCGCAATATTACAAGACTGAGCACTATACTGAAAGCACATCAAGTGGTATCCACGGCTTGATCCAGACACTGAGTATGAGAGAGGCCATAAATTGCAGATGACACTTGGTCTTCCCATCTCAAACCAATATAACCAAATCAAATGTTTTTGTCCAATTTTGGCTTTAAAAATATGGGGTTGAAACAATAAAAGACTAAACTAATCAATTAAAAGGGAAATCTTTTCGGTTTCTAAAGTGACGTAGTTTAATGACACCTCGGAAGAGTCAAGAAAACTGACTGTTGTAGTCAAGTTAATGAACGCCTAATCGTGGATTAGGGGAAATGTTGACGTTGATGTTGCTGTTGATGTTGATGTTGATATTGCTGTTGACCCTGTGTTGATAGACGAATGGTGAGTCGTTCAACGGGCGCTGCCTGGCTAACACCATTAGCACATTTTTGTCCGACTTGATGCAAAGTCTCAGCCACCGGCATCGTTTGCAATCAACTTGGTCGTATCATCATATGTCCAGCCTCCTGTCTCCCCCTGATTAGAAGAAAATGATAGTAACCCCGTATGTGTTCCTGTATCTCCAGTTTCCACGTACTATTAGGACCGGTGAACAATCTACATTGGTTTCCTTCTTGGAAATATGACCTCGGTACATCATGCAACTACGAGGAACACATTTCCCCCACACACTTAGTGGAGGACATGGCCCAGATCGTCTTCTGGTTGCTGTAGTGTCAAGTATAAGTGGGGCATTGAGGAAAAAGGTGCGCGTGTCAAAGAGTAATCTAATTTCAAGTTTCTTTCTCTGTGTATAATGAATCCAGATATGAATTCTTTCAAGACCAGCGCATTCAATATACATGAAAATACGGAGAGGACCGGGTAAGTATTGAGCGACTATATCCGTCAAACAGATAATTTGCATGGGGAAATCAATGATGCGAGATCAGCATGAAACGAGCACAACTTGACACCGAATAAGAACATGGTCGATGTTTTCATTGTGAGCTACCACCTATGCATGCCCAACGGATTCAGAAGGCCACTCTCTATTCCCGACTTTCCAGACCATGATACACCAGCATCTGTCTCATTGTAGCAAAATCAGCAGCCCATATATGCCTCAGCTTATCAAGGAGCAGGCTGTACAAGCGACTACGTAGGCACTCGAAGAATTTCACCGCAGGATGGAGGCACATGAGCCCCTGTTACCAGCCTCCATAGCTCTGTCCAGTATCATGGCTTGCTCTTCATAGCTTCCAACGTAGATGGAAGAACGTCATATTATGTCGCATCATCCACGGTCAGAATGATGACATTCCGAGATCAAAGCCAGAAAAGCGTGCTAAGGTCGGAGAAGTGGTCAAAATGAGTGACCTGGGGATGGCATGGAATTGGGAACCACAGAATCATACATATCTATGAAGACGGACACACAATATGACACGAGGGTGTCGCAGAGGACCTCGGTGGAGTAGACGCAACCTCCGCAATAACAGCAGATTCTGCACAGTCTCGCCATACTTACCTGGCACCAACGACCAGTTTTCCAATTTGGACGGTCTATCGAACAAGGTGTAAGAATGCAATGAATATGCAACATGATCTCTGGTGCATCTAACATGATATGGCTATGAGCGTTAGATGTCTCTCGAATCTGTCTTGTGTTCGCTTCTCTCACATCAGGCTATTACACCACCATGACTTCTTCATAGCTTCCCACCTCTACCCAGAACCACTTTTCAGGTGAAATCGATGTCGCCCAACATAGAATTCTCTCCGCTTTCCTGCCCAGCAATAAAGTAGGCATGCATTTTTTGAAGCTCAAAATCCACTTGTCTGAGCAGGATCGAGGCTGGTGCTCATGTGTCACGTGATGTGGAGAAGCGGGATGGTCACCGATGAGAAAAATAAGCCGCATCAGTGTGGTTGAAAATGGGCCACCACATGGAAATACGCATCTTTTCCTATTTGGACGGCTTTACCAGAGCCAGGATATGCTCGATACTGGTAGAGACGGCGCATGTTGAAAAGAGATAGCAAGGGAGTGGTAATGTTCAGGGCACTTGGCTGGACTCCGGAGCTTGGCGAATGACTGGACCAAGCAGAGATGCAGGCCATTTCCATCAAACCACGAAGCCTCATCTCGCCTGGAGAGGCCGATTTCGGCCCGCCGGTGGCTGCTCTGTGAATGGCTCTCTCTGCAAGACAGTCGGCTCAGGCTGTACTTGCACGCAGCTTGCGCTCAGCTTGCACTGCCTGGCTGTCTCACAGATGCCGGCCCTCTCGTCAGCCATGATCAGGTTGAATCGCTCCACCGGTATGCCTTGACGTGCCAGCGG